CTGATGGCAGTGCCTTCCAGCAAGGAGATGTTCCATTGACAGAAAATCAAAGCATGGTCTCTGGTTATGCTCGTGTGGCCTTTGTTGTGGATGCTAATATAACATCTTATCTTATGATGGGATCCATCTCACCAGGTTTTAATAATTTTTTTTTTTTTTTTTTTTTTTCACTCAACTCCCAGCCCTTAAATTTAAAAAAAGGGAAAAAAGAGTTAACACCATAATATCTATTACTTTGTTCTCTGTGTCTCTGTGGGGTAAATTCTGTGAATTGGGATTTCCTCATCTACTGCAAAAACTTTCTTTAGTTTGAGAAATATATATATATATATATATATATATATATATATATATTTTTTTTTTTTTTTCCACTCAACTCCCAGCCCTTAAATTTAAAAAAGGGAAAAAAGAGTTAACACCATAATATCTATTACTTTGTCCTATGTGTCTCTGTGGGGTAAATTCTGTCAATTGGGATTTCCTCATCTACTGCAAAAACTTTTCTTTAGTTTGAGTGAACTTATCTTCATCAGCATATGTAAGTATGAAAAGATCTTTTCATGTAGCTTTTGAACTAGAAATCTTCACTGACCTGGAGAAAACACATAAAATTCAAACTGCATCTTAGTTGCTTCAATTTAAAACATATTGACAGTTTCCTTAGTTTCACTATGATGCTTAAAAGTTATTTGAGTTATAGTTGAAGACATTGACAATTGTATTCTTTAACAAACAAATGTCATATGGAATTTATTTATTGTTAATGAGCATTCTATTGCCATGTTCATATTAAGGTTTTCAAAGTACTTGGTGCCAGAAGGCATTTGACCTGCATTCTTCAGTATTACCTTCATTTTTCAATGCACCATCTGGGGGTATTGGAGTTGGGGGAGGGGGAGTTTGTCTTTTTTTTTTTTCAGAGCTCTTAATATGTGATGTCTGGTATCAACCAGTGCCAGAACATAATCTCTTATTTGAGGATGTTCATTTTTTATTTTTTATTTTTCCTTTTGTTTTCTGAACAGTCTGCTAGTCTCTGTGCTTTCACTAGGCACAATTCCAACTTTTGAATATAAGTAGTTTATGTTTTCTAAATACATATTTTGCCACTCAAATTTTATACAGGTCTCAAGGATCATGCAGTAAAACTATATGAAGCTGGAAAACTTGGCCATGCAAGCATTGCTGATCTCTGCAAGGATTTGAGTACACTAGAGGGAGCAAAATTTGAAGGAGAACTGCAGGAGTTCGCCAATCATGCGTTTAGTCTCCGATGTGTTTTGGAATGTCTAGCTTCAGGTGGGATTAGACCTGATGATAGGGAAAATGATGGCATTGTATCTTTTACAAATGGGGAAGCCACTATCTTGGAAACAGGAACTTCAACGAACAAATCAGGGGATCTTGCTATAATAGAATCTGAAACAAATGCTGATGATTTTGTTCATTCTGGAGCATCAATTGAAAATGCAGATGCTGATCAACCTGTTGATAATCTGTTAGGAACAAAATCTGAAGAGATTGATAACTTTTCTGGGGATACTAGATCGGAGATTAATTCCCAGAATGAGGTGAAATCAACATCTAGTGAAGGTCTAGATGTTTGGAAGGGAACAGTGAAACTGAAGAAGTATCGAGTAGATATTCTTCGTTGTGAAAGCCTGGCTGCTCTTTCACCTGCAACATTGGATTGCTTATTTATTCGTGACTATGACATTGTTGTATCCATGATTCCACTACCACCTTCTTCAGTTTTACCTGGACCAAAAGGTCCTGTTCATTTTGGACCTCCTTCCCATTCCTTCATGACACCATGGATGAAATTGAGCCTCTATTCTGCTATGGCTAGTGGACCTCTATCGGTTGTTTTGATGAAAGGGCAGTGTTTAAGAATGCTCCCTGCACCTTTAGCTGGCTGTGAGAAGGCCCTTGTGTGGTCATGGGATGGATCTTCTGTTGGTGGGTTGGGGGGGAAGTCTGAGGGGAATTTAGTCAAAGGAAGTGTACTGTTGCATTGTTTAAATTCCCTTCTCAAATGTTCAGCTGTACTTGTGCAGCCGTTCAGTAGAAATGACCTTGATGAATCTGGAGAAATTGTAACCGTTGATATCCCCTTACCATTGAAGAACTCTGATGGTTCAACGGCTAACATAGGGGAAGAGTTGGGACTGCACTCTGACGAAATTTTTAATTTGAACATTCTGTTGACTGATCTGGCAAATAAATTGAACCTTTGGAGCCTTGGCTATATTCGCTTACTAAGACTTTTCAAAGAAAAAGTTTCTGAAAGCTTTGCAGATGATGATGGGAAATATGAATGGGTTCCACTTAGTGTAGAATTTGGTATTCCGCTATTTAGTCCAAAATTATGTAATTATATATGTAAGAGAGTAGTTTCATCGCAATTACTCCAAACAGACTTATATAATGAGCATCACGAGGCCATGCAAGGTTTAAGAAAGAGGTTGCTAGATGTGTGTGCTGAGTACCGAGCAGTAGGTCCAACAGCAAGACTACTGTACCAGAAAGAACAGCCTAAGGAATCAACTAAACTGCTTATGACTTATGCAAGTGAAAGGTGGAACCCCCTTTTGGATCCCCCTTCTCCCATTTCTGGGAGAACGGTTGAACAACAGAGATTCAAGCTTGCTAACAGACAGCGATGCAGAACAGAAGTTTTGAGTTTTGATGGCAATATTCTAAGGTGCATCTTATAAATTTTGTTTATGTAGCTGGTTTGCCTCTGCTTTATTTAATACAGTGGACATATATTCCTGTGTCTGCATGGTTTATTAATGAGTTGTTCTTATGTCTTTGTGGCACTTTTTCTTGGCAAGTACGCATTAGTGCCTCAATCACCTCATGAAAAAAAAATCTTGGAAAAAGATGAATGCTTTACTTGGAAAACCTTTTGTAGTGTAAAAGCCTTTCCAATGTTTAGTTAATATTGTCAGAAATAGTTTTATACTGTTATATTTAGAGGGGGATGGTTTTGGAAGTAAAATAGGTGAAAACATTCATAAAACATTTTGCACCACTTTTAGGGTGTACACTATACCTACAAGCATACAAGTGACTTTTCAGTTATGTCTATTTTATTTAGTGTACTAGTTTGAAATCTAAAATATAATTTGAAAATGTGGAGATTGTCAAAGTAACACTACACTACAGTCCAAATATGAATCATATGATTGTCTGACCCTAAGAAAGATATGTTAAGCATGGTATTGGCAATAAAACCCTCTTCATATGTAATGCATTCACTCTTTCAATTGCATGCAAATCTATTCAACATTTCAACTATTGCACCAAGGTGGTGAAATTTCTAACCACCAAGACTGAATTGATTTTGCAGATCATATGCTCTATCCCCTGTTTACGAAGCTGATACCGGACTACTTGAAGAATCTTCCCAAATGAGTACTGTTGAGTCAGATGATGCCAACAGTAAAGAAGTGATTCATCCTGGTGTAAATATTTTATTTGATGGGTCCGAGTTGCGCCCTTTTGACATAGCTGCTTGTTGTCAAGCTCGTCTACCTGTCTCTTTGATTGCTGAGGCATCAGCACGTTCAGCAATTAAATAGGGTATCAGATGGGATTCTTGCCAATACCCTCATGTGTTGGGAATAATTTGCTTCACCACATTACTCTGTTGCTGATTGTTGGCTGCACTTTTTTTTTTGGTTGACATGATGCAAGAGTCAGTACAGATATGCTGAATTAAATATTACAAAGTCATCTTCAAAAAAAAATTATTACAATGTTTCTTCTGTGTTTGTATTCTGTGCTTTCCACCAGATGCTCTATAGTCTTCTGTTAGATACTCTATACTATTCAATCACTCATTATTGGTATGATTCCTTGTGTTGTGCCGGTTTCTTCTCCTCGGAGGCAAGAGCCTGACTCTGTTCTTTAAAACCTTGTAGCAATTGATTGATATTCATTTACTTTTTGATTGTCTATACCTGTATACCATCTGTCTTATAATGCCAGCTAAAAGTTTGTTTGTTTTTTTTTTATTGATATTCATCCATCATATTTTTGTTTTGTTCATATTTGTGCTTTGGATGTCATTATATTATGATCAATTATTTTGATTTTATATTTTTAAAAACTTTATTCTCATTATAGAGTTATACATAACCAAATATTAGTATTGTTAATCATTTCAATTTCACTTATACTATCAAACATGCAAAATACTTTTATCAAAATCTATTACCATTATTAAATATTTGATTTTCATGCGCAAATCAAACACATCTCAAGTGTTTTATGTTTAAAGAGATCATGGTTTGAATGAAAGTAAAATGAAATCGCAAGACAAAGGCCCTGTTTGGTAAAAAATTGGTCTATAGGTTAATTTTGGTTTATTTGACTACTATTAATTGTTTAATTTAGTTAAAATATCAATATAAGTATTTGATTAATTAGTTTTTTGCAAATCTAAAATGCTAAAATTCAAAAAGTTATTCCAAACAATTATTTCAATTAACTTTTTCAAAAAAAAATTATACCAAACAATTAATTGACCAAACACTTTTCTACAACAGCTAATGTTATCAAGTAGTTATACCTTATAATTAACACTAATCAGCTAACAGCCATTTATCAAACAGGGCCAAAATAATCATTAAGGAATGTGGTGAAGAGGAGAGAAAGGAAGATGATGATTAAAAGTGAAACTGAATATAAGGAAATGAAAGATGATGTGGTGAAGGTAACCACTAAAACTATTAAGAAAGAAAGTATATGAATAGATACTACATTGTAATAGAGTCAGCAGCATTCAAAATATATATATATATATGTATATATATATATATATATATATATATATATTAATGAACAAAAAATATATTAGAATGTGAAATTCTCTTATTTTTGGCTTCAAGAGAGGCGAACCAAACGCTCCCCAGATACATTCATGAAATGTTAAGGTGTCACGTGACAACGGCCTAATCGAGATACTTGCGAAATTGATCGGAGAAATACGTGTCTAGGGCCTCGAAAGCCCGATTCTCACGTCACCGTGCACGTGGCGGACAAAGGAGAATGACTTTCCCCCGCTTTCATGCCGCTCTACTACACAGAGCATGAACTGAAAATCTGCAATACAAAGGTGTCAATGTCACTCACACCCGAAAGGCCAAAAGTAAATACAGAGTAAAACTCATCAGCGTAAAAGCAAAGAAGTCTCTTCCAATAAACTGTAAGCACAAAAAGTAAAAAATATATCGCTACAAAATACTTGGGAGTACAGTTTCAGATTCTCTACACGAAAATATCTATTCCTACAGTTTCCAATTGATGCTCTGATTCCATTCCAGAATCAATCGAGAGCATAAAAATGCAGTCGACGATGCATCGTCTTCTTCTTCCTCCTCCTCCTCCTCCTACTTTGAGTAATTTCAACCGTCCCTTCTTCACACCATCTAACACATCTTCACTCATGGGGTAACAATTTTACTGGTAGTATAGTTTGAATGTAGAAAGGTTTAATTGTTTTTTTTTTTGACTGTTTTAAATAATTTTGTGGACAGTGTGAAGTGGAGTAGAAAGGCTTCATCAGAAAATTCTGGCCGGAGGTTTCTCAGTAAGGTAAGCGCGAAGATGATGCTTATCATCCGGTTAATTATGTAAACAGGAAAATCATAATCGCGTATACATTTGGCTTTTTGGATTTTGGTTTTGTTTAGGCAGGGGATCGTCGCAGGCGTAAGAAGCTTAACGTATTTGCTCGTCGAGCTGAAGAACAGCGTCTGATCGAGGTACATTCCAGTCTTCATGAATTACATTATATATTACGTGCATATTTACGGTTGTATTGATTTGGCGTTTTGAATTGAGAAACAGTTGCTATAAATTGCCAATTCTGTTAGCTTGGATGTCATATTTGTGTTTATAATGGAAATTTCACATCATTTTGTGTTTCAAAAAAGTTACACAGATAGCTACCTCAAGTGTTCTCTCTTAATTGAGCAGTTTTTGTAATTGCAATCATGAGTTTGAGATATGCAGCAGTAGCATGTAAAGAGTGTATAGCAGCTAAAGTAATATATTTGTGATGAAGCTAAATGCTGTCCTCCAATGATTTCATTTATACTTTTCCGCAGTTTGATGCTTATATTTTTTTGTTTACTTGTGTTACAAGGTGTAGAAATGTTGTAATCCATTAATGTGATAATAAACTCATGCTTTCATTTGCATGCTCTTTTTAATTATAGGAAGAATCCTCTCAAATGCTGGAAACTATACCATCAATTAGAGTTTCCCCGGGCCTGGCTCATCCATTAGGAGCATCAGAAGTTGAAACTGGGATCAATTTTGCAATTTTTTCTCAGCATGCTTCTGCAGTTACTCTCCGCTTAATCCTTCCTGAGAGGTTTGGATAAGATTTCCTTATATGTACAAGGGGGTTAACTTCAATTTCTGACTTGTATATTTGTTCTGTAGTGCTCTGGGAGAATATACTTTCATTTTTTTTTATGGGTTCAGTAACTTCAAATTTTATTTACCAAATTTTAATTTCTCTTCTAAAGTTTTTGTTTTTTTGTTTTTTTGTTTTTTTTTTTTTTTGTTTTTGTTTTTTTTTTGTTTTTTTTTTTTGTTTTTTTGTTTTTTTGTATTCTCTTTTGTATGCTAGCAGTTACCCAACCTGATTATAGCCTCTCTAGTTCTTGTTATTTGTGTTCCACCAATTTCAAATTAGATGCAATTATAATGCATTGAAATTATTGGAGATAATGTTTCTATTAATTACATGCATGTCTTTACAACACATGACAGTGTTGATGCTGGGACCATTGAATTGGCATTGGATCCAAGGATTAACCGAACTGGGGATATATGGCACATATGTGTTGAGGTAGTAATAGTCATTGCTCTAACATTGCCTTCTTGTGATTTTGAAAGTGAGTAAACAGCTTTTATACTTGCTTCTGTGGCATGTTGGTAAGGTGATAATTTGCTCCAGGCTTCCATTACTTTCTTACAGCATGGTAATCATCTTTTGCCTATTTGAAATACATTTATTTATGTAGAAAAAAAAAGGGAACTAACGAAACAATTATATTGTGGTATGGCAATAAATAGAGTAACCATAAAAATTGCTACTGGTCTGTTAATTAATAGTTATCCTGATTTTCATGGAGACAAGCCTGTCCAGTACCCTGGAGTTCAGATCTAACTCAGAAGTCCGAGTGCACATCTGTATAAAATATGTTCAGCATCAAAATATGACAAGAAGAAATGAGTAGGATAGTGAATTTATTGTTTTGATTAGCTGCTGTTGGCAATGCTTCTTTCAGATTTGTTTATATAGTAATTTAAACTAATTCTAACAAAGGGGAGCAGTTGTGAGTTTCCTCTTTGAAATTGAAGAAATCTCTTGGAGTCTTGGGACCAAGTAAATTCTGTTATCGCCATTTTCCATTTTCAACTACTGCATGAAATACCAACATACTGTTAACAGCTTACATAAAGAATATCTGAGTAAAGTTTTTAGATTTCTTTATCTTTGGAAATGGGGATATATTCTTCTCAGACATACCTCTTTTATGTTATTGCCATTATTTTAAAGTCACCTTGCTTGTTATTCTGTATCTTCAATTAATTATATATGTTTATAATGCATACTCTTAAGCTTTTGTCATGCAGGATCTGCCTCGTAGTGGAGTACAGTATGGCTATTGCATTGATGGTCCTCGGAGTTGGAATAAGGGACATCGATTTGACAGCAGAAATGTTCTAATAGATCCCTATGCAAAGCTAATTGAAGGTCGTCGACTTTTTGGAGATGTCAGCAATAGGATGTGCACATTTTATGGAACTTATGATTTTGATAGTTTGCCTTTTGACTGGGGTGACAACTACAAGCTTCCAAATATTCCTGAGGTAGATTAAAATGAGTTTCTTGAGTGCTCTCCTTCCACTTGCTAGCCTGCAGATATGAAGATAACTTTAGTTTCCTGTCAAATTACTTAGCTTAACATTAGATATTTAAGCTTTGCAAGATGCCTGAAAATTTTATGTGTAGCATTACATGCTCATGCATACTATGGCATTTGATTCTTTTTTTACGTTATATATGTTCAGTTTAACAGCACTTACTGATTCTTCAGATGCCGTGCTACATCTCATTGTCCTGCAATTTTTTTTTCCTGTTTGTAGAAAGATCTTGTAATATACGAGATGAATGTCCGCGCTTTTACAACCGGTGAATCAAGTGGCCTGGATCCAGATATAAGAGGGAGCTACCTTGGTGTGATTGAAAAGGTGATGACTGTGACCTTTTAGTTTCACATAATTCACCACAATTGTATTGAACACAGTATTGTTCATCATTGGCATGTGAAGATTCCACATCTTTTAGAGCTTGGTATCAACGCAGTTGAGTTACTGCCTATTTTTGAGTTTGATGAATTGGAATTCCAAAGGAGGCCAAATCCACGAGACCATATGGTAAGATTTGATTGACCACCAATGGGCTCTTTTATCAATTAGTCTCTTCATTGCCTGTCATGACTCATGAGTAACTGCTTCTGTGTGGTATAATGCATGGGAAATTTGTATTTTGAAGATAAACACATGGGGTTATTCAACAATGAATTTCTTTGCTCCTATGAGTCGCTATGCAAGTGCTGGTGGGGGACCCGTTAATGCTTCTAGGGAGTTCAAAGAAATGGTCAAGGCTTTGCATGATGCGGGAATAGAGGTGTATTATTTGCTCTTGAATTTCTGTGGGATATAGCTTGTTCTCTACAGTCAATGTGTATGCTGTGTTTTGTGATGCACTAACTTTTTCTCAACTTTATAGGTCATCTTAGATGTTGTCTACAACCATACAAATGAAGCTGGTGATGAGAATCCATACACAACATCATTTCGCGGCATTGACAACAAGGTGATGGCATAATCCAATGATATATCTAGGTTTTCATGGGATTAAATTACTGGTTCAGTTTTTCGTGCGTATGTTTCTTTCAATTCGTTTAGGAGGTTTAGAGGTATAATGTTATCTTTTATGACATTTTTATGCACAGCATTTTAGTAGGATACTTTTATAGGTATTTGGAACACTTTCAGAGTTGCTTCAGACCATATAGATTATCAATACTGTCCAGAAAGTTATTGGTAACTCAATATTGACACTAGATTGATAATGAAAAAGGGAAAACATTTCACCTGTTCCCGCTATAAGCCTTTAGTTACAACTTACAATTGATGGTTACCAGACACTTGTAAAAAAAAAAGAGATAATTAAGTATTATTATCTTATATTTGTTTGCATTGGTCATCCATGCCCATCAAATTCCAACGTGGAGTTAATTTAGTTCTCTTTTCACCTGTTATATTTACATCTTTTTTGAGCTCTTTTTAATACTTCTTTATTTTTGGATACAAAAGCTACTTTTTTTTTTTTTTTTTTTTTTTTTTTTTTATGATACCATCCACCACAGCTATGCTCCCCTATTCAGTCTACTTCTCTCTTGTAAACAGCATTGATTTGAAATCATGGTTTACAGGTTTATTACATGGTGGATTTAGACAACAATGGCCGATTACTCAACTACTCTGGCTGTGGTAATTCTCCTCTTGATGCCCCATAATAGTGGATTTTAACTATCATTATGAATAATACACTTTACAGTCAGTGAATTCAACAAACAATTTTTCCATTCATGTTTTTTCGTCGTCTCTGTCAGCAGTGGAATAAATTTCATTTTTGGTCCCAAAAGTTTTGGTTAAGTTTCACTTGATCTTGAAAGCTTCAATTTTTTCAATTTAATCCATAACCCTTAGGTTTGGTTTAGTCTTGAGCTTACTTTGCCAGTCAAAATGGAGTGCTTGGTAATATCATGCGACTTCAATGTGCATAGGAGCAAGTAGAGTATGGTCATATGGACATAACATTTGGTAGGAAAACTTTGAGGTTGAAATTCCAAATCAGAGAGAGAGAGAGAGAGAGAGAGAGAGAGAGAGAGAGAGAGAGATGGTTTTGTATTTTTTATTTTTTTTAAATCAGTGTTCAATTTATTTAGTATTTTCATTTTAATTTTTTTTTTTGTTGTTGTTGTTGTTGTTGTTGTTATTGATGTGCTTTGATTATTGATTATATTATGAGTGTTTCAATTGTGTGAACTACTCTTTATAATTTTTGGTGCTGTTTTTCCTCTCCAAAAGATTCTCCGGGAGGATATCAGTACTCTTGTGCGTCTGGAAGTCCTGTGTTGCCGGAATCTTTGGTTCAGGATCAAATTGAACCGGAAGTAATATTATTTACTAAATTGAAACACTGAATCTTTCCAGACCAAAATGAAACTAAGCCAAAACTTATAGGACCAAAGCTGAAATTTACTCCGTGGTGGCTATGGAGAGAAAATGCTCCTACAACCTCTAAGGTCAGGAAGAGAGAATCACTCTCCACTGGGTGCTGAATGAAGCAATAGAACTGACAGAATAAAATGCACATAATGATGAATTAACTCCTAACTTTACCTATTGGATAAGGAAAGTCTTGGCCATCTAGATTTAGAGTTGGAAAAAGGGGAGTAATTCCTGAAGGAATCTGAAAAAGAAACGGATATATGGTTTATGTAATGAAGCTATACTGTACTTGCTTCTAGGGTTCTCAGTCTCACTTTTGAACAGCCTTGTTTTCTTGTTGGTGATCCATAAAAAATACGGATGATGTTTTTTTTGCTGATATCCAGGAAACACGTTGAATTGTAACCATCCTGTTGTTATGGAGCTTGTACTTGACAGTTTGAGGCACTGGTATGTCAGTACCCTTCTATTCCAACCTTTGTTTTTTTTTTTTTTTTTTAACATATATATTCTTTAGTTTTTGTTTTTTTTTTTTCCCTGTGTTTTATGCTTTTGTTCCTGATCTCTGAAAAATCAAAGGGTAACCGAGTATCATGTGGATGGATTTCGGTTTGATCTTGCTAGTGTTCTCTGTCGAGGAACAGATGGCACTCCACTTGATGCTCCACCAGTTATCAGGGTACATGATTGGCATAGTCTATTATGAACTCAAAGCAATGTTGTTATCTCTGCAGTGTTTTACTTGTTTCACTAATTCTTCTTATGCTACAGGCCATTGCTAAAGATAGTGTCCTATCAAGGTGTAAGCTAATTTCTGAACCATGGGATTGTGGAGGCCTTTATCTTGTTGGAAAGTTTCCAAACTGGGACCGGTAACTAATTTCTTCCCACCAAAAACAAAAAGCAAAACAGTCGGTTAAAATGTGGTTCCCTTTCATTTTGTAGCTCTTAGCCATTATATAACAGATTCATTGTGTTTATCAACTCATGCCATTACTTCCAATGCAATGGGTTTTTATTTTACTGACTAGATTAGGGCCTTAATTTGAAACTCGTGTTGGCAATAGTAACTTGACAACCTATGATAATTTGTAAGGGGAATAAGGGATTGGATATGGAATAATCTAACCAAAAGTCCAAGACACTTCCAGTAGTTTCTTCTTGCATAACTTTTCTGATTTTTTTCCCCTTGAAAATCATATTGAATGGAAAAAGTTTCTATTCAAATCTTGAGTTCTCCTCCATTCCCTTTTCTTAATTATCTGAGAATTTCATATGGAAATTGTACTACAGGATCTTATACTTACCTTAGTTCTGTGGACTGCAGGTGGGCTGAGTGGAATGGTATTTATCGTGATGACATAAGAAGATTTATAAAGGTAAAGCTCCAACTATGCACTATTTAAAAGTTGACCATTTGCAAATTTGATTAAGTGGATCTAAGAGGTAGTAGTGCAGTTTATTTATAAGTGGACTGGAGACTGGAGAGATGGAACACATGCACAGCTAATCTCCCCACTAGATTGGTATTGAGGCTTTGTTGAGTATTTCAATTTGTGGGTTGTTATAAGCTGTCTTTCATTGCTTATATACATTGTCTTTCATTACTATATATATATATATATATATATATATATATATATATATATATATATATATATATATATATATATATGCAACTTGTGCCAATAGTCATCGTATATATTAAATCAATCATGAAGTGCAAACAAGAATAGAAAGATTAGAAAGACATCATATAGGAGAAACAAAGTGTTCTAAATATGCAACTTCTATTTTATTATGTTGATCAACAATCTCATGAATGCTAAAAAGAATAAACCACCTTATATGAATCTGAGTCTTCCATTTTTTGTAATTTTTTTTTTTTAAAAATTTTAACAGATTTTTTTTTTTTTTATATTTTTGAAATGACACAATAGGGTGATGCTGGCATGAAAGGAAAATTTGCAAGTAGAGTTTCTGGTTCTGCCGACCTATATATGGTATGTTCTAGAGAGCTCAAAAGCTTAATATTTGGCAACAGAACCTGACTTGAGTAGTTGAGTTACATCTCAAGTTAGAAATTGAGTTTCTTCCATATGTTTGTTCATTTCTGCTGTAATAAATGGGATATTTCAGGATTTATGTTTATCACTTCTATGGAGTTGGGTAAGAATTAGTATAGTTTTAGTCCCCTAACTATAGTGGTAAGGACAACTTTTGGTTAATATTTAGTAGTTGGGGGACTAATATTGGAAATAAATTTGGATAGAAATGGTCCATCAAGTTTGAAAGCTGGGTAGAGATGGTCTCCCAACTAAAGAAAACTGGACAAAATTATTTTCTGTTCTATATAATGGGTTGGAATAAGGGTCAAATAGGCCACTCAACTGTACACCAAACTGCAATTAGGTCATCGAACTAAAAAAATGCAATTGGGTCCCTTAACAACACAAACTCATGCAATCAACCCAAAATGACTTGTTTACCTAAAAGTATGCTGATGTGGCGGTTACCGAATTTAAAAATAATTTTTTTTTTTAATAATTTTAAATAAAATAATTAATTAAAAAAAAGAAAGAAGAAAGAACTATCGGAATCATTTCCGGCCGGCTTTGTCTCCATGCCCGGAGGCGAGGCAGTTTTTTTTTTTTTAATAATTTGAAATAATTATTTTATTTACAATTATTTAAAATTTTCACAAAGTAATTTTAAAATTCGGTAACCGCCATGTCAGCATATTTTCAGGTAAACAGGTCATTTTGGGTTGTGAATTGCATGAGTTTTGTGTTGTTCAGAGACCCAATTGCATTTTTTTATTTTTATTTTTGAGTTCGATGGCCTAATTGCAGTTTGGTGTGCATTTGAGTGGCCTATTTGACCCTTATTCCTAATGGTTTTTATATTTATATAAACTGAATTACATTCAGGAAAGTCCTAAATTGATTTTCACCCCCGAAAATCAATTGTTTTACTTTAATGAAATGGATTGTTTTTCTTTTCATACTAATATGCTATATAGTGGTATTAATATCACCTTCTATTGTGACTGTCTTAAGTGAAGGAGTAGACATCTGAGCTATATTAGCACAATTTTGTCACAAGCTCTAAACCTTGTGCAAAATTTTAAATTGTCTTTTCTTTTCAAGCTATGTATCTGTGTGTATCACCTTCTACTCCTAGTGTGAGTTGTGACTGTCTTAGGTGAAGTAAATTCTAGGTTTTATTATCATAGTTGGGTCACAAGCTCAAAAACCCAGTGCAAAATTTTGAATTCTGTGAATACCTGGATGCTTTTCAGTTATCTCAGTTGAACTAATATTGGTTGCAGGTGAACAAGCGAAAGCCATATCATAGTGTCAACTTCGTTATTGCACATGATGGCTTTACGCTGCATGACCTTGTGTCATACAACAGTAAGGTACCTTTAAAGCCAATCCTTCTTGTCTTCTAAACCCTGGAGTAGAAAATTTTACTAAAATTTCAGAGATGTTTGGTGAAAATTACAGCACAATGATGCCAATGGGGAAGGTGGCAATGATGGAAGTAATGACAATTTTAGTTGGAATTGTGGAGCTGAAGGTGATTACAGTTATAACTGACCTACTTTTCTCCCTATATTCCCTCCACCCCCACCCCAAAGATGAATATTTTTGGAGTCTCTTTAACTTTCCAAATATACATGCATGCATAATTGTCACATTTCCTCATTATGAACTAATGAATTGGTGTTGAATTTTAATGAATATTATTCCTGTAGCAAAGTTCAAGGCTTCTTGAAGTATAATCTGAATCCCCCCTCCAAGGACTCTAGAATTAACAATTAAAGATATTGAAAAATGGAAAGTAGAATCCTTTATCAATATAGTTTATTTAGTTGTTGATAAATGTAATAAGCAATTCACCTGCCTTTTAATTTGTGAACAGGAGAAACATCTGACGCCAATATTAAGGCACTTCGTTCAAGGCAAATGAAAAATTTCCACCTTGCACTGATGATATCCCAGGTTTCTGATGCGTTAGCTACTCATGAAATGTGTTATGTGTTTTTTTTTTTTATTCTTTTTTTATTTTTATAGAAGCAGAAGATAATCCATTAGAGCTGTACTTTAAAACAAGCAGCTATTATATTCTTTTTTATTTGGGCAGCTGGGAGAGGGAGAAGTGCCTTATTGGCCCTTACATAATTGTTTCATTTTTTTTAATTGCGTTTATCTCCCCATTATTATTCTTGCATTTTCAGAAGATTTGGCCCTGCTCACAATGCAATGCTTCTTCACTTCTTTGGTTGCATAGGGAACACCTATGATGCTTATGGGGGATGAGTATGGGCATACGCGTTACGGAAATAACAACAGCTATGGACATGATACAGCCATTAATAATTTCCAATGGGGACAGGTATGTAATTTATCTATGATTTGACCTCTATTTTCTGTATCAAGAAAATAACAACAATTGTAACTTTTGACAAGACAGTTGGAAGCCAGGAAGGATGATCACTTCAGATTTTTCTCAGAGCTGATAAAGTATCGCCTGGGAAATCACCATTTTAGAAGAGAGCATTTTATTGGCAAGGTAATTTTGCCTAGTCTGGCTTGTATATATATTAATTTACCTACCTTTGTTGCTATCAAATGATTGTTTCCTCAGTCTTTTCTGAAGTTAAGAAATGCTTAGGTGCTTTATTTTCTTTGCTATAAGGTTTCCTTATTTTGGCATATCAATGTTAATTGTTCATGCCTCTCTAGATAGAACATAAGCATGTTATAGAAAAGATGACATTTGTCTTTGTGACTTGTGCAAATGGTTTACTCCATTGATAAGGTTTCCTTTCAGTGCCAGTTACTTGCTACATGTCATGCATAATAAGAAGCAACTAGCCAGCTTATTCTTATGAACTTGGTGAACAAAATTCTGGTTTTGAATTCCAATCAAGTCCATTTTAGCTCTTCTGTTTCATGGGACAACAGCAGCCTTTCTGGTCTATGCTGAGAGGGATTTGATAGAGGAATAACAAATTTTTTACCCAATATGAAGAATGTATAACCGGCTTGTTCTTATGAATTTGGTGGGTGAAATTCTGGTTTTAAATTCCAATTGAGTCCATTTCAGCTTGGATTATATATATATATATAGGTTTCTTGATATACAGAACCTATGATCACTTGAATCCAGATTTTTCCAAATGAAATATGGAATAAATGCTGAATATCAGTGCAGAACTATCTCTTTTCATATCAGATGGAACTCATCATAGAAATGAATTTCTAAGTTCTAATCGTTATATTTACTTTTGGGTGAAACAATGATCCGGTAGAATTTTGTTTGACTATTCTCTATGTAAAATTCTGTGAAAAGAAAAAATAATTCTTGATAGGGTAATTATACAAATCCATTACAGTATACCACTCTTAAGCTTTGTTTGCATTGTTTCTTTTTGCATTTGACCTGAAATTCTTAATATGCAGAAGGATGTGACATGGCATGAGGATAACTTTAAGCTTTGTTTGCATTGTTTCTTTTTGCATTTGACCTGAAATTCTTAATATGCAGAAGGATGTGACATGGCATGAGGATAACTGGGACAACTATGAGAGTAAATTCCTTGCATTTACGTAAGAACCAAGTCCTCATTGACTAGTTTTTTAATGTTCCCTGCATTCACTCATTGATGTGTCAAAACATGGAACTTAGAGATTAATTGTGTGACCCAGCTATATCTGTTTTAATTTCTCTGCATCTGTCTAGAAGTTCTTTTCAACACAGGCTTGTATTCTAGTTTTAATTATCTTAATTCCTGTATCTGCCTTAGTGCATACATAGATTTCTTAAACATTATTCAAGGTTGTCAGAACTTTTATATTAGCTTCATTATGTTGAAATCTTAAAATGGACCGACCTTTATTATATTTGTCTAGGCTTCATGATGGCAATGGAGGAGATATTTATTTGGCATTCAATGCTCATCACTACTCTGTTGCAGCTGCATTACCTTTACCACCAAAAAACAGACACTGGTACAGAGTGGTGAGTGTTTTGTTTCTTCAAAATGGATGCTTTTGCCTGACATCTATCTTTGCATCTTCAGATTAAATCTTCTTTTAAAATTGCTACTTTGGTTGTGACTTTTCAAATTATCTTAGATGTCCCCCACCAATTGAGGATCTTTAAACTTTTGAGAACTGCAAGTTTGCAACCAGCATAAATGCATAATTTAACTAAGATGAACTTGAATAGATCCTTTATTGCTGGAGAGTCTATGTATGCCCCATTTGAGACAGAGATGCATAATGCTTCTGTACTTATTTGGTGGTTGTCAGCCTGGAATAGTCATATCTTTGAATTCTTGGCATTAATCCAGTAATGGTGATTGCAGGTAGACACAACCCTTGAGTCTCCTAGTGATTGTGTTCTGGATGGTGTTCCTGGCATTAGTGGAATATATAATGTTGGACCTTACTCTGCAATTCTTCTTGAAGCCAAAGAGTAACATCGGGGATGCTCATATTGGAAAGAAGCTTATACCAGAGGTCTGCATATTCTTTGATATATAGTTGGTCTAATGTTCAATACTCGTTAAATTTGTTAGAACTGGAAGATAGCCATGCAGGAAATCCCAATCAATAACCATGTTGGTACAATAAATTCTGGCAAGTGGAAACCTTGTTTTGTGCTGTTGCTGATGCCGAAGAAATAAAAAGTGCTCTAGTGCCACTAATCTTATGATGGAGTTATTAAAAAAAACAAGGAGATAGGGTGGCCAATTGCATAGAAGTTACAATTCCATTTTATCCTATTGCTCTGTATTGCTCAGAAAACATCTTTTTTGTATTTCAAACTTCGTATACCAAATTTGTTTACATTTCTTGTATAGAATGCATGTAGATAACCAAATTTGTATCAATAAAATACTGTAGACTTGTTTGACATTGTCATTATGTTTAATGGATCAAAATCACTAATGAGAAAAGAGATTAGAGAAGGAAACTTCTAGGCTGTTCCCGGTGGGACTTCCAGACTTTTTCTGCATATTTATGGGCAAAATTAGGTTTATTAGATGTTTTCTCCTCTTCTACGCTTCTCTGCGTAAAGGTAAACAACTTTAGCAAATGACTGGTTCTTACGCGGCTTGGAGCGGTAACTTACTGAGTCGTCCAATAGAATATTAAAATATATTACTCTGTACTTGGGTATTTTCTCGCTTATAGTAATTATATTAAAGCAGACACGTTTTTCAAGTCCTAATCGTATGACGATACGGAGTGGGAGTAAATAATTTTTAGACGGTGACAGAATTAGGTTGAAACTTCCATACAGGCTTATGGCCTGAAGATGATCAAAAGAATTGGTAAAGGTAACAAATAAGTCTTCTTGTGATTGGTGGGTGCTATACTGCTATCCATTCTATCACGCCGAGTCTTGAAGAGTTCATTGGTTTTGTAAGGCAGAACAAGTTTGAACGACAGTACCATACCTACGTGCCTGCTTAACTAAGTGAAAATCGACTTTCAATACCAACGACCAAGTTTAATATCACATCTTGCAAATAGTCAACAATAGATAATATGACAATTGGGATTTTTAAGGCTTGATGATCTCAATTTTACCATTATCATATCATTGAATCAATAAAAAACACTATCAAATATATATATATATATATATATATATATATATATATATAAGAAATTTGGGTTCTTGTTACTTATTTGTATAGTTCTAGTTGCATTATCTTTGAGCATTTCGCCACCGAATTCACAATATTTGACTAGCTAGCTATTGGAGAATTATTTTAATGAGTTGGGGGTAGGTTGGAATTGGGTTATTGGGAAATAAGCAGTATAGTACGGACGTACAGTAGGTTTTCCATGATGCATGCTTAGCTTCCAAAATTATTAGAGTTGTATATGAACACGAATATAGCTAGTTTGGGACTAGTCTCTTGGCTTTTCTTGCACTCAAATAAAACCGTACGTATTAATTGGTTGTTGCCGACCAAGAAATTATATGGTGAGTTTTTTTTTTTTTTTTGAAATCATTAAGTAAGATCCAAGTTTAAAACGTGAGCAATGGTGGGAAAGGGGACAAGAGAACCGTCCGTACAATCAGACATTGACAAGGCTTCCTTAGTTAAACAATGGGCAACCCTGTTCGTAAATCGTTTCGCAAACAAAAATCTTAAATTAGTAAACAATGTGGTGAGTTGAATACGAATTTGTGGAGGAATGAAATGAATTCGACAAGAAAATAATTTTCCCATTTCGATAAAGAAATGAGAGATGATGGAGAGAGAGAGTTCATTCCAGGGTGTGTGCTTTGAATTTGCGCGCACTACTCTTTTTCTTTGTGCTTTCCATCTAGCATATTCTCTTGGCCGGTTGGCTGGCCATGGCCCCTATAGCACTAATAATAACACACCTGTCCCATTCAAGGAACCCGCCCTAGCTACATTCAAGCGTGGCTTTAAATTCAAGTTGAATTGAATTCATATTAAATTAAAACATTAATTATACAAAACAAATTAATAATATAGTTTTAAAACATTTTTGTTAGTGTTAATGCATTCGAAAGTCTTAATGCAAGCTTTCAATCTAAATCAACACTTACAAATTGGATTTGAATATAGGGGACATACAATAAGTTTTAAAAGGGTGAATCATACAAAGTGTTTCGGAAGTTAGTAATGTATTAAGTGCAGTAAAAATGCGATCCCTTTTTAGCATATGAATTATTAATACAAAATAATAAAATCGAGCAATTCTGACAAAGTATTAGGATTTTTTATTTTTTATTTTTGTTTAAAAGTGACATGAGAATTTTATAGTGAGTGCTTAAGTATTGAGATTAGTAATAATTACTCATGTTTTAGTGAGCATGATGGAGAGTTGAACCCCTATTAAATAGAATTCAAAATGATTTTTATATCTCGAGATACTCAAATAACATTTCATTATATCTTTTTAGATTCATTATTGTTGGACAAAATCTGAATAATAATTTTAACAATTTTGATACTAAATACTAAATTTGAATAGTCATTAATTATAATTATAAATTTGTTTTGCCAATAAAATCTTGTTTGAAACCAATATTCAAGACAGATCAGCCAAACACAACATTGCTTCGATATGTGTAAATTGCCGTTGGAAGTCATCGTTTCAAGTCAACAAAAAAAAAGTAAGAAAAAATAAAATAAAACGTTTAATAATCCCCGCAACGTGCCGAACACAACGGTAACCATAATCTTTTAATAATTTAATTTAATGATTAAAAAAGTCTGAGGATTTCTAGTCTGTCAGATCACCCCTTGATATACGTGTAGGATTGAATTACCTGACACGGTAACAAATAACAAAAGCGTGTCTAGCTGTGACTTAATCACAGCCCGCACTCTGCTGCTGAGTTGTCAATCAATGATTGATTACAGCAAAATTATTTAATTTATAATTTTCCACAACCGACTTGCGCAATTAAAATAAAATTTAAAATCCCATTTTCTCTCTCTTTTCCCGCCTATATATACATCTCTTACCCTGCCCTATCAGGACTCATTCACTCATCTCTTCATTCACAGATATTTCTCTCTCTGCGGCTCTGCCTATACATACGATTTCGATTTCTCTGCAAACAGAAGCGAAGTTTGTTGAACTTGAATTATAGTTTGAGTAGAAAAATGGCTTACTTGAGAGTTGTTGTTGTTATGATGTTGGCCTTGATGGCTGGATCTGCCTTTGCTCAGGCTCCAGGAGCTGCACCAGCTGCTTCACCGAAGAGATCTCCATCTCCGGTGGCGTCTCCGCCGCAGGCAGTGCCGGCGGCACCGCGTTCTTCTCCAGCGTCCTCTCCGGCTCAGACTCCATCTGCCGCCGCTCCTTCTGAGTCACCACTCTCTTCTCCACCGGCTCCTCCCACCGGCACTCCTGCCGTCTCCCCCGCCTCCACCGTTGCTAATCCTCCATCCATCTCACAGGCTCCCGGAAGCGATGCTCCTTCCTCCCCTCCCAACGCCGCCGCTTTGAACAGAGTCGCTCTCGTCGGATCTGCTGGTTTGGCGTTCGTCGCTGCCGCTTTGCTGTTTTAAATTCTCTGATGTGCCTGAGATTCTTTTCACATACACCGGAGTTGATGATTTAGGGCTCTATATATCTATATTTCATTGAATTTTTTATATTCATTGATTTTGACGGTGTTGATCACAGCGATTGAGGAGATTAGATGCTTTAATTCGTTTTTGATATCCGTCTCTACCGGTGTTCATTATTGTTACCATCATTTATATGATTATAATTTTCATAATTATTATCGTGATCTTTGCTATTCTTTTACTTTATTTTATAACTTGCTTTCATACAAAAATCATCTACATATAATAGAGCGAATTTTTCCCACAAAATGATCTATTAATGCATTCTAATCCTTACCCCAAAATGCCCCAAATGCATTCTAACATTATTTTCCTGTAATGTGCTTCGCAATTCGAACTGAAATCTGCATTGTTTTGCGGAAATCGTTAGGTTTTTATGTAATTTAAAATCGTCGCGTGGGGTTCAATTTCATGTTCTGTTGCTTAATTTGTTTACCAAACACAAGTACAAATTATGACTTGTGCGCTAGAAATATCAGAGTCGTGTTGCTGGCTGCTCCACCTGCTCTAAAGCTTCTCTCATACAAAATTTTATTATGCGTTATGATATTATATATTTGGTTGAGCTGGATGAAAATAATAATATTATTTTTCTTTTTCGACGAAGTACATAGTAATCAACATCAAACCCCAATTACGCGTTGTATTCAACTCGAATGAAGTGATAGTAAAAATTAGTTCAAATGTAAAATATTTTGCGATTATGATTAGATGATAAGCACGTTTGAAAGATGATAAAATTACGAATTCTTTGGCTATGAATTCGAGAGGGCGTTTTGTTGTTGTTCCTAAAAATGCTCTGAGAAGTCAAAAATCATTCCTCAATGTATTAGGACTCCTTATATGGTATTATATCGCTTCTATATTTCTACCTTGTATAGCAGTATAGCACTCTTTTGGCTCTGTTTGGCAGCTACTAATAAGGGAAGTTTTGTTTATGTTTCAAAATAAGCTCGTAGCTTAAAATGTTTATGTTCTTAAAATAAGTCCCAGTAACTTAAAATAAAAACTTATTTTGGAACGTTATCTTTTTTTTTTTGAAGGAAAAAACAAAGCTTTTATTAAATTAATTGCTCAATACACGTAGGAATAGAAGAAAACCAAGTATAAGGACCAGGTTGCGAAAAAGCCGCTCTAGCTAAGGCATGAGCACACTTATTCACTGATCTAGATATATAATTGAAAGACACTACTTCAAAGTGTCTACGAAACTCCTTGCAGGCATTGATCGCGCAACCAGCGTACGAATGATTAGATCCGGACCCATTAAGGAGAGTACAAACCACTTGACAATCGGATAGGATAGCAACCTTGGTGTAGCCTAAATCTTTGACCCAGGATAAAGCCTCTTTCACAGCCAAAGCCTCTGCGAAGTGTACATCGTTTAAGCAACGTAGCGGTCCATTCTTTGCCCCCACGAAAGTCCCCTCACTGTCAAAAACCACACAACCATAGCAAGTTCCGGCATCACCATTTAACACAGAAGCATCAACATAAACTCTAATGGCATCACCCAAGTTTGATAAATAATTACCACTTGTAGCCGTGTGAACTCTATCATGCAGATTTGTTGTGTCTGCTATATTCCATGCATGAAGCAAAAAAAGGACTTCCATTTTAATATTACTGTAATGCCAAACCTTTGCATTCCAAACCAACGCATTTCTACCCTTCCAAACACACCAGCAAACTGCAGCCACCAAGATTTTCTTATCTGTATCATTTGCTGTCAATATACCAGCCAGCCATACACCAAAATCATCAACTTGAGGGAGGGGATAATTA